CTATTCTGTCCACAGCAGTGAAAGTCCACATCAACTCTCACCTATGTTTCTGTATCTGTTGTTGTCTCACCTGGCACACTGTGGAATTGGAAGCTAGTGAAATGATATTGTGTCACAAGCTCAGAGAGCAAATTCTGATCAACAGATGAGGGAAGCAATTTTTAGGTTTTTATAAAATATATGGGGCGAAAGTTGGGTTTTTTCCTTAAAACCTAGTTAATTATGGTAAAAATGTTTTGGAGAAGGGATGTCTTCATTCAGTATTCACTGTCTTGCTACTTCAAATAAAATTAGGGCTCATGTTAAACATCTAAGATGAGTTCTGATGAATCTCCCAGGAAAAACAGGGAAGACCCTCCAAACATCTTTTAGGCCTTTTGAACACTATAGATAAAATAAGAGATGTCAGCTGTTCTTAAAACTCTGCTCTAGTCACTTCTAAGGAGAGATTTTTAGTGGGGGTTTTTTTTTCTAGACTGAGGGGTTTTTTCAGTCTGTTCCTGAACTATTTCTCTTCATGGACTCAGGCTGCTCGCTTTCTGTAGCTGAAGTGTACTTAACAGTTTTTCCTTCTATCGTGTTCCTGTACCACGAATTTGTTTTCTTTAAAGGCCTGACCAGTTTATATCAGCACATTTGAAGTCTTTACTGTCTGTGGGATGTTAGTCTGTTTCTTACTTGCAGCTGGTAACATTTTAAATTGGGGGAATACCCAGTTCTAAAGTCCAGCCCCGTAATTCTCATCCTGCAACAACTACACCAGAGCTGGAGGGAGATAGATAAATAAAAGAATAAAAAGTTCTGCTTGGAAAGACCAACTCACAAAGAGAATCCCAAGGAACCTCTTCTTGACTTGTATGGAGTCACCTTCTTTCTCCCTGTATATTTGTAGTGCCTGAAGAATGTCATCTGCAGGGACTGGCAAATAGTTTGAAGGAAGGAAAGGATAGATCTTCTGTTTGTAAAATTCAAGGAACTCTGCAGAAAAGCTGTTCCTTCCAGAAGCCCAATGCACCAATTCCTGAAAAAACCTGTAGTTCAATGTGCAACCTCAGCAGCCCCCCACCTCAGGGAGGATTATAATATAGACAATGGATAACATAGGAGAAGAGGGGAATGGGCTTGCTCCAGAACTCTTGAAAATTGTCTGGAGCTGCCAGATAAGTGGATACTACTTCTCTCGTGGGTGAAGATAGATCACTTTACTTTCCAGGTTCAGTGAATTTGGTATTTCTGTATAAAATATTAAAACTCTGTTCAAAGATTATGTTCACAGATAACCCCTTTTCTCTCAAGGGTAAATGGCAGATACTAATTTGCCTTTCTTTGAAAATTAATTGCAAAGATAAGCAAATAACTAGCGCGCACAGAATATATTTTGCCTTTGTTGTGACTTCCATCTGAAGAACTCAAATCATTATACAATCCTGATGAAGCAGCTCTTAGAGCTAATTGTTTCCCTCGTACATGCTATATACATTGGGTTTTACTGTTTTGCTTTTAAAGACCATATTCTTAGATGTAGATCCTATTTCCCCGTAACATCTGATGCAGGTCATCATTTCCCACTAAAAAGTCAGAAATCTGTCCCCCCGCCCAAAAAAAATGATGTATTTGTCTTCTCTATTGGGGTCTTTTGGGTAAAAAACAAAACAATCTTTTTTTGCATTCTTTCCATACTTTTTATAGTGTTCCTTTCTTGCTGTGTCTTTTTGGTAGTATATTAATCTGTTCTTGTATTTTCAATTGCATTTTGTTTTAAATTAATTCTCCAAAAATTTTTTGGTGGTGGTGGCAATGTATTATAACAATAATAATTATTATTGTTGTTGCATTTTGTTTTAAATTAATTCTCCAAAAGTTTTTTGGTGCCGGTGGCAATGTATTATAACAATAATTATTATTATTGTTGTTATTAACAGCATAGTACTGATTTTATAATTGTGTGTTTATTGTATAAAAGATTTAAAGCTATTGGTTAAGATTTAAAAATTGCATTTGTGCAAGTATGTCCTGTAATATTTGCAAATAAATGTTTTTTGCCGAATAAGGGCAGATGGTGTGGTGGCTCTCCACCTAGTAATATTTGCAAATAAATGTTTTTTGCGGAATAAAGTCAGATGGTGTTGTAGCTCTCCACCTGCATTTAGGAACCTCCTTTTAGAAATGTAAAAATGAACTTGAACTATGCATTTATGGCTAACTTTAGGCTTTCTTTTCAAAATGGGTGTTCTGATTAGATTGCATTTTCTATCAACACGAATAGCAGATGTTGATTTATGTCGAAATCAAACTAACTTTCACCGGTTCTGCTGCTGTGCAAAAGCACTTCATTGTTGAATCATTTATTTATAGTTAACATTAGAAAACATGGCATTGCAAATTTTAAGAGTATTCTTATGTAAAATATGTTGGAGAATGTATTGGTTGTTTGAATTATTTGTTAATACTGGTCCGTATCTTCATTATCAGTCTTTTTAGATTAATTTTGAAATCCTGATCTGGTGAAATCTACTTCTTAACTGCAATTATTGTATAGTTTGCTGTTAATTGAAAATTATGTGGAACTGAAAGGTAAACAGAAGTCATCTGAAATGTTTCTTAAATTTACTTAGTCGATTATGCTCCTGGAATATATTGCACAGTTTGTGTTGGTGGTCTGACTGGATAAATATGGAGTACATTACATTTTAGTACTGCAGGTACCTATGGAACAATCACTTCATTTCTTCTTTAAAAGATTTCACTTTTTTAGGTAAAGTGTCAGGAAAGTGAAATCAGTAGATTTAATTTAATATGAATAATTGTAATATGAAAGCTTTAGCAGATATGAATTGATAAATAATGTTCAATAATTAGATAAGAGATCAAGTGGATGACTTTGAGTAGTTTAATTCCCAGAAGACTGTGAAGTAATTTTTGTTTTATAATATTTTCTTGGAACCAGACTATCTGTAATGATATGAGGTAGCAGTGGTAGTAAGAGTGCATTTCTGAGAAACAGTATATAGATAACTGTAGCAACATATATTGTCTGGCAAATGGCAGTTTTGGCTGTGTAAACTAAGTCTTAGATGAAGATAAAAAAAAGTTTCTAAAATCAAATGAATTGCACTGCAAGGCCTTAATCGATAAAACTGTTTGAAAAGTGTCTTTGGTTCAACATACTGACCCATTGGGTATAACTTGCACCATAAAGCTAGAGTTACAGATTAAGAGCTATTGGGGGTCTTCTGACATCAAAATTAATAACATATGGTTTATTTTTGTCTGCTGCCAGAAACTTCTAAAATTATTGGCTATAATGATTGATATCAAGGTCATGGAAAACAGACAAGCAATGTAAGAATTTATAAATCTCTGCTTTCTTTTTATCCAGTGTGATTCAAATTTGAATGGTTCTTTGGAAAACACAAAACGTGCTTTTTTTCAGAATCCAGAAGTAGAATTAGAATATTACAACCATACATTTCCCCATGCCTCTGCAGTAAAATTCAGAATTACTCAGTGTTGAATCCTTTCCTTGTGAGCATATTTGAAAGGGCTAATTATAGACGGCACACAGTTCTCTTGTCCTTAGCAGGGGTTTATAGACATTCCTGTTTCGTCCTTAAAGCACATGTCTAAATATTAACCTACAAATGAATGGTAAACTTGATATTATTATGTGTTTGGGAGAAAATGTAAACAACATTAGTGCCTTAGGAAAAAATCTTAAATTTTATTTCTGTTGAGCTCTTGATTAATTTACTGTAGAAAGTCTTTTATCATATACCATAATATACATTAGTTATGACTGACTACTTAGTTTGTACTTCATTGATTCTCCAATTAATGTATTGCAGATTTATGCAGCTTCAGGGGACTGGAGTCAATTTTAAGTGATATATTTACAGTAGTTTGGCTCTACAAACACTCACTTTCATAAGTAAGAGTTTATTTTGGATATGTATAGCACTTACGCTTAAGGGCAACATTGCCAGTGTCATTTACATGTTGACAGCATTGGCAGTTTTTTGCTGACTCCCTTATTCTGTTGTTTGCTGTGGAAAGTCTGTTTATCAAAGGTACCATACATATACTACTATAGAGAGAGAATTCATCTTTTGCCTATATAGAACAAAGTAAGATCATTAGGGGAAAAGTGAATCAAACTGGGCAACATAACACTATCTGTTAAATAAACTGGTTATATTTTAAAAATCATTGTGGGATAAACTGATACTAGTATTTTTAAAATATTGAGAAATACACAAAATAAGTAAAAAAGATGTGGCTTTATTTAGTAGAGTCTTTTTAAAAAATATTGAACATGATCAAAATCTTTGAGTTTCTACTGTTCATGTAAAACTGTTTGTGGCACCTCATTACATGTTCAAGATAAACTCTAGTTTTAATAACACTTGCACTTTCAGAAAGTTGTCTTTCATAGAACTGTGCAGGCACTATGATTTTCTGCCTGTAAATGTTAAGATTTAATCAATTTCTACCACCAGACAGGAAGGCCAAACAAAGGTATTTTAGTGATAAGGATGGTAGGAAAAGCCACTGTACTGGTGAGGAGGATGAAGAGGTATGGGGGTAGGGAATGGATTTAGAATAAAATAAAACAAAGCAAAATTTGTATATGTAACTATATTTTATGTACTTTCCTCAGTGCCTTCTGCAAGTTTGTGTTTTCCTCTGAGTTGTGTATTTGACAGAAGATGTCAAATGTAAATGTAAAGCTAGTTTAAGTTTTATCTTTAAGTACTGGTAGATAAGAGATACAGTGACATGTTTTTGGAAGGTTCATTTTAGTTTCTGGAATCTGTGACTTTTACTTAATGATTTGTTTTGGAAAACAAAGTATTCTTACAGATTGCATAGACGTCACTGTTTTTAAATTAATAATGATAATTTAATTTCAGTGCTAACGTTCTCTTTTTTCTGTGTTGTGTATTCTGTTTCTTCTGCCCATGCTCTGGGGACCATGCTTCTGGTAAATCCCTCCAATGCAGTTCACAAGATTCCTGTGCGATTCTCCCCTTGAGGTATGAATTTAATCTTAATTCTAAAATCTGAAATTGTTTAATGCCAGTGTATCTTTGTTTCTTCTGCGTTTTATAATCTGTACTTCTTCCAGATCATTATATAGGTCAGTGTTTCCCAAATGGTTTTCTACGGAACCCTGGGGTTATGTGAAGTAAAAATAAGGTTCAGCAAGAAAATTCTGTTACAATAACATTTTATGATATAAAAAATAGTAATTAACGTTTAAGCATATAAACAATTTTCTATAAAAAATAGTAATTAACGTTTAAGCATGTAAACAATTTTCATTTGTGTTTGCTATGATAAGTGTCCCTGTGTAATGCCAGTTTAGCCAAAGAGTGGGGATGATGTTGTCACTACTCAGTGCTGCACACGCAGTCAGTCAATGGTAAGATTGCCTGTTATATACCATATATAAGACTGTCATTAGGGGTTTAGCAAAATTCTTTTGTGTTTAAAAGGGTTCCATGACCAAATAAAATTGGGAAACATGAATCTAGGTATTACACTATTAGGACTATCTATGAACCGCATAGAGTGAAATTTTCAAAGGAGTCTATGGGAGATGGGCACATTCTTCCTTTGAATTTCTGTGGGAGTTGATTGCCATAGATCTCTTGTTAAACCCAGCCATTGATCTTAATGCATACACCACCTATATTTTAGTATTGGGGATTGCATAAATTGAGGCAAAAATCCCGTAGCCCTTAGTCAAGCAAAGCTCTTCAGGATTGTAGAATCAGGTCATGATGGGATAATAAGATTTATAATTATCTGATTAATTTAAGTTAATATTAAGCAAAAATCCAACCAAGATTTTTGCTTTTTTAAATAATGGCCAAGCAAAGACTTGAATGTTATAGCTATCTTAGGATACCATGCTATCTTTTCCCTCTTCTCTTTCGTAGTAGCCAGTAATGCAGAGAATTAGCTATGTTACTTTGTTTCAGCAAAAACCTCAAGCAGTCCAGTGGCCTCTTTAAAGACCAACACATTTATTAGGGCGTAAGCTTTTGTGAATTGCTGCTCTCTCTATTAAATGCACGAAGTGAAAGAATCAGATGGCAAGGATATATACCATGGGAGTATTACAAGTGTTAATAATTGCGGAACATGCTTGTTGATTTCTGTTCTTCAATTAACTTTCTCAGCCATAAACAAAATCTTTTTTCTGCCTTTCTTAAGAGTCCATCTACAATGCATAGTCCTAAGCCACTTTTGAGGACCTACCAGGGTAGTAAGGTTGCTGTTGCTCACTGTGTCTGTGAAAGAGATCATTTGTAAAAATTAAGATATTCATGTTTTTACTTAAAAAGGGATGCAAATGGTAAGTTGGTTATTGCATCAGTTGGCATTGTAGAAGTTGGGCTAGCAAACCTTTTTTGGTTATCTCTATCCCTTGTTAACACACTATGCAATAGCATTTAACCTTTTGAAGATACCCTCTTTTAATAATGAGGTCTGCTTGCCAAACCAAGATGCCTGTTAGCAGGAAAAAATCTATGTGTAAGTGAAAATTTTCACAAGATGTTGAAAGCACAATAGTTTACAGGGCTTAAAGAGCTCTAAGATCTTTACTGTGCTCATATGTTTATGATTATATGTGATCACCAATTTTTCTTTGCTAGCATAAGTTTTCTGGAATAAGGTTTTTTTTTTTTAGCTCAGCATAAAGTTAGTCCCCTAGCTGGGTACCTAAAAGCATGCTTGTCATTGGTTTAAAATAAATTGACTAACAGGTTTTTGGAAAACGACTAAACTGTCAGTCTTAGTTTATGTTTTGTATCCTTTTTTCATATAAGAAAAAATATATGGAAGACTACTTACATCGAAAGAAAGCTAGAATTGATCAAAAAGCAAGTTGAATATTTTAAAAAAACATTTTCAGAAACATTGTCCACATCTTTGGCAGTTTGTAAAAACTAGTTGTTGTGAAGTAAAAGAAAATTGAGTGAACACATCCTTTTTTAATGTTTGCTTTTGTTTTAAAGACAATTCTAGAACTAGTGACTAAAGAGAGAGGAGTTCAGTTTGGAATGATATTTGAGATTACTTCCTTTACAGCGCAAATACTAAGAGAAAAATGTGGCACTATCTTTGCTGTATGTCTTGAAGAGTTAACAACCGCATGATGGTAATGAAATTGTCAGGTTATAGTAATTACACCAGTAATTTGATATGTTGCAGTTTGAATGAAGCCATGTGTGGAGTGTTTGTTACTTTTCTCTGCTGAGTCGACCCCCTTTACATTCCTGCAAACTGAAGACTAATAGAGCTCATTAGACTTTATAGGAAAATGGCTTTTATCACCTCGTCAAGTCAGGCAGCAGATTTCCATTATATTTCTAATTTTGTACGGCTACATAAATGCTGATGTACACTTCCCTGCTAGTTTTATACTAGTATTTCTTTCTTACAGACATTTTTTATTGACATTTTGAAGCTTGAATTAAATTTTGTGTGGCACCACTTACAGATGTCTTCAATTACGTGAAGTTAAATAAAAGGGGTTGTATATCTGAGGCCAAAGGATTCTTGAAATTCTCTATTCTGAAATGATTTCCACAAGCCAATCCAGTGGGTCCAGCTTCTTCCATTTTGGGGTTAAAAAATACAAACCTTATGTGAATTTGAATTTGTTTTGAATTTTTAATCTGTATTAGCTGCAGCAAGTACCTATATTCAAAGAGCTTTCCCACTTATTTTATACTTCCTTTATTCTTAATTCATTGTTGAGGTACTGCCATCAATTCCTCAACATGAATAAAAAACATTATTTCCTTTAAGATTGGTATGTGGCAGGGAGAGAATAGACAACTCTATAGCAAAAAATACAACTCTGTTAAGAGAGCCGTTCTATTTTTCACACTAAGACTATATAAAAGCATTCAGCTCTTTATTACAGGCAGTCCCCGGGTTACGTGCAAGATAGGGACTGTAGGTTTGTTCTTAAATTGAATCTGTATGTAAGTTGGAACTGGCGTCCAGATTCAGCTGCTGCTGAAACTGACTGCCAGTTTTGACTTACATACAGAATCAACTTAAGAACCCCAGGCGTCCCCAAGTCAGCTGCTGCTGAAACTGATCAGCAGCTGATTCCAGGAAGCCCGGGGCAGAGCAACTCTGCCTCG